AGGCCTTAAGTGATTCACTAAAAATGGTACATAAATGTTTCCATTCTCAAGAAAATCCCAGAGGAGAATACCTGACCATCAGTTTGTGACCTTATGTGACCTTATGATTAAAAACAGCAGCAATGATGAGTGAAAGCATACCATCCATTCAGTATCTGAAGAACTAAAAAGGCAACATAAAGGATTAGAAACAGCCTTTACAAATTCTGAAAATAGATCTCATTGAGATCCTGTGGCATGACCTTGTTTTAATTAGTGTCAAAAAGCAAAACAGAGAAAATCTCTAGGGAGGCAAATCCCCTACTAGAGCACTGTCCAAAGGGGATTTGAACAGGTTGAAGAGCAGGTGAAATGATTGACGGAGGAACAAGAGCTGTGAAGGCTACAGAAAACTCAGGTACTAATGGAAACTACATAAAGGGACTGGGTTAGCATCAAAAGCACAGCAGCAGGAAAATGAACACAAAAGCACATTTGGATGAGCAATCAAAGGCTACAAGGGGAAACGTGTAAACCAGTAAAATTTGATTCAATTCAGTTTATTTATATAGCGCCAATTCACAACACATGTCATCTCAAGGCACTTTACAGTTCACCAGATCATACAGTCAATTGATTCCAAGTTTTCTATCTAAGGAAAACCAGCTGACTGCATCGACTCATTGACTCAAATGCAATCCCTCACGCTTAGCATGATTGTAGTGACAGTGGAGAGGAAAACTTTTTAACAGGAAGCAACCTCCAGCAGAACCAGGCTCAGTGTGAGCGGCCATCTGCCGAGGCCGACTGGGGTTCAAGGAGACAGAAGCAGAGATACAAAAAGCAGCTGTTAAAGGCGACCCCAACCAGAAAACACAAAGCCAGGCAGATGAGCTCCGAGCCAGGTCCCATGTCAGAGGAGGAAGAGAGCACATCCAGCCAGTCACAGTCAGGGAAACAGGACTACAGTGGAAAACAGGCCGATCTCCAACATCTATAAACAAAGGTGTGGATGGAAGCAGCACAGCTGATATTTCTTTCCAGGATGTTGTCACAGCCAAACAGGAACAGACGGGGCAAAGCTACTATGAGAAAAAGCAGAGAAAGCATAACGAGAGAGATTAAACTAACAGATTCTGCAGAGTGGGAGAATAGAGAATAGAATAAAGCAGAATGGTGAAATGGGAGTCCCTATGTCCTTCAGAAGTCCATGCCTATATCAGCATAACTATAGTGATAGCTCAGTACAAATCAGTACTTTAAACAGGAACAATAAATCTCCCTCAAGGGACAGCTCCAGATGGCTGGGAGGATTAAAATTGGTCTGCAGGGAGGCTATTAGGTGAAAAGAGCTTTTCAGTATTCCATGTAGCAAAATCTTATTCAGTTTGTGCTCTGCTGTAACAAGAAAAATATTGAACTAAAAGTCTACAGTAAATACTTTGACCCTGTTTGGGTAATTTGCAATTTTATCAAAGACCTGTCCACTATTCAAACAAAGATAAGTTTTAAGGTCAATTTGAACTTTCCTGCAGATTTCTAAATAAAATGTAAGCAATGGTTTCTGTGATCAAGCTTTTATAAGTACAGTGTAAAAAAAAAAATCCTGTTCCGAGGGGAAAGGAAAATCTGAAATGACATCTCCAAAATGTTTCATGTACTTCTTAACAACCCTGAGATATGTGTGACACCAAAGTGATAAAAGGTTTATTTCTCCTATTTCTGTTTTTTTCTCTGGAGCAATAAGATGTGCTAAATTTCAATTTAGTCTCCTCCCAAGTTTCTGAAAAGATTCCAACAAGCTCTAAGATAATTCTTAGAGTTTAAAAAAATAGAAAATGAAAATAATAATTTAGTGCCTACTATGAAACAAGGAGTCATAACAAAAATGGGAAAAGACACATTGATAATGATAAACGCCAATAACTAGACTTAAATGTCTCCAAATGTGAGTAAATATCAACACACATTTATCAATAAAGCCACTTATATGGGATTCCAGTGAAAAAAAGAAATAAAATATTTAAGCTTGACCTTGAAAAAGGATTATAAGACAAAACAAGATCTGAATATTTTGGCTGTCATAAAGAAGAGTGAATGCATTCTTACTTACTGGCTTCAAATAGATACTTAGAGACTTAGACAACTTACAATTAGTTTTTTGTTTTATTCTTTTACAGCTTTCAGAAAGAAAATAAACATTTCCATTCGATAAAGTGCAGCAGTGGTCAAATGTAAACAGTGTGGGACAAAAAACATGGTGCAAATATCGTCATTTGAGTTCAGAGCTTGATGACAAATGACAAATTTATATAGTGCATATATTCACTATTTGGGTTTGGTGTTATCAGTGTGTTGCAGAGTCTGTGAATGGATTTAGCGTTTATTTTTCAATGTTTCAGCAATCTTATGGCAGTGGGGAAAAAGCATTTGCAAAATCTGCTGGACCTGTATCGGATGCTTCGGAGCCTCTTCCCAGAGGGCTGCAGGGAGAACAGTCCATGTTGGGGTTGTGATGGGTGATTTATCATGTTACGGGCTCCGGGACAATGTCTTTTATGAGGGAAGAGGAGCCCCGATGATCCCCTCTGCTGTTCTCACCACTATTCTCACACTCTTCCTGTCTAAGGTGCTGCAACCTCCAAAGTCATACAGCTGGTCAGAACTTTCTCTATGGTGCTTCTGTAAAAGGTTGTGAGGATGGATAGGGGCACGTGGGCTCTCCTCATCCTCCGCAGAAGGGGCATGCACTTCTGTGCCCCTTTGACCAGTGAGGAGGTGATAACATTCCAGGTGAGGGTGTCTGTGATGTGCACCCCCATGAATTTGGTGCTGCTGACCATCTCTACAGCTGAGTTGTTGATGACCAGTGGAGCATGGTTAGGCCGGTTCTTCCTGAAGTCCAAGATGATCTCCTTCGTCTTTTCCACGTTCAGGATCATGCTGTTATCTTTGCACCAGTCCACCAGCTGCTCCACCTCTTCTCTGTAGTCCAGGTCGTTGTCGTCTCTGATGAGGCCCACCATCGTGGTGTCGTCTGCAAACTTCACGATGTGATTGGTGGTGAACCTGGGGAAACAGTCGTGTGTCATCAGGGTGAACAGCAGGGGGCTAAAGACGCAGCACTGAGGGGAGGCTCTGCTTAGACTGATGACATCAGAGGTGTTCTGTCCAACCTGGACTGACTGAGATCTGTTGGTGAAGAATTCTAGCAGCCAATTGCGGAGGGGTGTATTGAAGTCCAGCTGTTCAAGTTTGCCCATCAGATGCTATGGGATGAGGGTGTTGAAAGCTGAACTGAAGTCCAGGAACAGCATCCGCACATAGGTGTTCTTCTCCTCCAGGTGGCTCAGGTGGAGAGAAGCAGAGATGGCGTCCTCAGTGGAGCGGTTGAGTCGGTAGGCAAACTGGAACGGGTCAAATGTTGGCGGCAGACTGGAGACAATGTGTTCTTTAACCAGCCTTTCGAAGGACTTCATCATGGTTGGAGTCTGTGCGACAGGAAGGTAATCAGTGAGTGTGTTAAACTGAGGCTTCTTTGGGACTGGAATGATGGTGGCAGACTTGAAGCATGCTGGCACTATGGATTGGTCCAGCGAGGCTATGTTATCAGGCCCTGGGGCCTTCCTTGGATTGACTCTCCTCAGAGTTTTGAACACATCAGCTGTGTCAAGGTAGAGTGCCTCCTCTCCCTGATGTGGAACAGCTTTCACTGCTGGAGTGCTGTTTAGTGCCTCAAACCTTCCAAAGAAATTCTTCAGCTCATTTAGGGAGTCAGCATCAGTTTTACCCACTGGAGGAGAGGGTGTGTTGTCTGGGATTGCCTGTATGCCTTGCTACATACTCCTGGTTTTGCAGGCATCGTGAAGGAGATCCCGGATCTTCCGGCTGTGGTTCTGCTTCGCTGATCTGCACAGTTCAAGTTGGCACTCACTGTCCTCAGTGCCTCTCTATCACAAGACTTGAAAGTTTTGTGCTTTTAGCGATTCCTGAAGCTTCCCATTCCTCCAGGGCCGTTGGTTGGCCTGGTTGTGGATGTTCTTTGTGGTGCTGATGTCCTCAATGCAATTGTTCATGTAGGCTGACACAGTCATGGCTTACTCATCCATATTTATTTTTTTTGTCATAGGTTCCTGCAGCTTTGAACATGTTCAAGTCAGAGCATTCAAAACAGTCCTGGAGTTTCTTCATGGCCCCCTCAATCCACACTGACCTCCTTCACTGTTGGTTTTGCGCTGATTAGGTGGGGGCTGTTTGCAGGAATTAGCATGACAGATAGGTGGTCTGATGACTAGAGGTGGGGGCGGGGAGCTGCTCTGAATGTATCTTTAATGTTAGAGCACAGTCTTCAAGTTAGCCTAGTTAAAATCCCCAGCAATGATAAAAACACCCTGTGTGTGCGCAGATTGAAGCTCATTGATAGCCTGGTAGAGAGTCTTCATGGCCTCTTTTGTATTAGTGCTGGGAGTGGCATAAACTGTATTGATGGTAACCACGTTAAACTCTCTGGGCAAATAGAATGGTCTACATGTAACAGTCAGAAACTTGATATCTGGAGAGTAGAAGCTGGCGGCCGATCTACCATTTTTACACCAGTTTTTGTTTATGTACACACAGAGCCCCCCTCCTTTAGTCTTAACACTGAGTTTGCTGTTTCCATCGGCCCGGTATAATGTTAGCCCATCCAGGCTAAAAGCATTGTCTGGTATGGATTAATAAAGCCATGACTCAGTTAGAATGATGGCGCAGCAGTTACTGATCTACTTTTTTGAAGAGAGTTCGAGTTGGAGGTTATCCATTTTGTTATCCAGTGAGCTGATGGTGGATTGCTGGATTGATGGAATCCATGGTCTGTGGGGATTCCTCCTTTGCAACACTGTTAGCCCACCTCTGCAGCCCCTCTTTCGTGGTCTTGCAAGTTGTTTCCTCTGGCTCCCCTCCTGGCACGGCCTGATCCTTTTTCGCGCTGCTTTGTTTAAATATGTCTGAAGCATTCCACAGCTTTTTTAACAGTCAATAGTAGCTGTATTTAAGAGTCCAGAAAAGTAATTTTGTGACCGAAGCTCTTGCAGGTGTGGTAATGTGGCCTTTTTAAGTCATTCCATGTTTTCTAATTTTGGATTTTCTTTATTTTGAACTTGTTTGCTTGTTTTCAATTTTGTGTGTTGCATGTTTTTTTGGGGGGATTTTGTTTGGAGGCCACATTGCCACTCACACCTGGACACGCCCACAGCAACGGCACAGGTGTTCCCCATCAACCAAGCAGCGTGCCGACTGGGACGCTGATTAAAAAGGCAGCTGTTTGGTTGGAGGGACAGACCGGACATGGGAAGGTTTGGTTAGAGGGACACACCGGACATGGGAAGGCCGATCATGGAGGTAGCCGGACGGAGCGGGTGAGAGAGAAGCAGCGGGAGAGGTTTGGGGACTGACGGCCGGAGGCCCGCTGGAGCGAGGTGCAGAGACGCACGCCGGAGCGAGGTGCAGAGACGCACGCCGGAGCGAGGTGCAGAGACGCACGCCGGAGCGAGGTGCAGAGATGCACGCCGGAGCGAGGTGCAGAGGCCCGTCATGGAGCGAGGCGCAGAGGCGCGCTGGCGAGAGGCGCGTGTTGGAGGTGACCGAGACGCACGCCGGAGCGAGGTGCAGAGACGCACGCCGGAGCGAGGTGCAGAGACGCACGCCGGAGCGAGGTGCAGAGACGCGCTGGCGAGAGGCGCGTGTTGGAGGTGACCTCGCAGGCCAGCTATGCTGGAGAGGCCCACACGCGCAGCGTGCCGGAACGAGGATCCAGCGCTGGGGTGGACGGTGCCCTCCATTGTACCCGCCAAGTGCGCATCTTTTAACAGACTGGGCCATTGACTCTGCCGCTCTTCACCATCTGTATTTTTATCTTTTAATCTTTTTCCTTTTAACTTGTCTTTTAATTTATTTTTTCTTATTGGATTTTAATCGAAACTTTTTAAAGCTCTGCTCACAATCGCCGCAGTCTGTTTGGTTTTATGTTTTTTTTAAGATGATCGCACCTCTCGGGTGCCACACAGGCACTGATGGTCTTAGATGCAGGATCGATGCCTAATTTGTAGTGTTTTGGCATATTTTGTGGAATTTTCTAGAGCTGTATGAAGCTGCTGCCTACAGGCGCAGCCATGTTGGATCCAAAACGAGATCTCCAAATGGCCCAGTTTTGCACCAGTGATTTCAGATGCAGGAGTTTGCCCTGCTACCGGAGGTTTGTTTGTCTTTCTTTAGATGTATTGATGATTTTATTTTTTACATTGCAGATGCTTATTTTTCACAAGAGAATGACCCTTTCACTTTTTTTGCTCATAAGTGACCTAAATCCTTACTATATAGTTTCTTCTCTTCTAAATAAAGAAAAAAATATATATATCAAGGTTTTGTTTCCATGTGCTGTTGTATTGGAGTTTTACCAAGTTGCTTAACTATAAAATGCCCCAGCTAAATAATTACCCAACTTTATCTCATCTCCAGCTGCAGTCAACAAAATCTGGATTCAGCTTGTTTGTAGAATCCCACCGCCCATTTTTTCAGTTATACTATAAAAGAGGAGTTGTCATCCCAGGTAAAATTATGTGCTTGAAGTGTTGTTGAAACATCTGCACAGAGTGAAGTAAGTACATTTAATATAGAAAAGCCCAAGAAAAACCATACATATTGTCATGATGGGTACTCTAAGAGTGACCCAATTATGCAGAACACCACTAGACGGACACAGGAATAAAAGTTCAACAAGTTTATTTGGTCACAAGCACACTGATTATACTGGTTCTGGTTCGGGCCTGGATACTGGTTCACCGGAGTCTGCGTGAGAGACAGTTCAGTTAGCGTTGCACGTTGGAGCTTGCTTTCTTGATTGTTACTGATTGTACCTTGAGGGTTCTTGTGGTTAGCTTTGGGAGGGTCACTGTTGGATCTGGAGAGGAGTTGATCAGCAGAGTCCGTTTGCTGCTTCAGCGTCTCACTTCTAGTTTTGAGCAGACCTTGGCTTTGGGTTTTCCAGCTCTTGGTCCAGAGCTGCATGGAAGTTCACTGAGGTTCTTCAGGTTTGGCTCTGAGGGTCGGCTCGGCAGGTTCGCTCTTCCTGAGCTCCACAGAGGAGAAACTGGTTTCCTGGAAGACAGAGACAACGGTTAGAATCCAGGCTGGATTCAAAGTCACAAAGATTCACTGAGAGTCTAGGCTTAGGCGCTGACCAACTGGATCAACACTGCAGCATTGAGGCAAGGTCTGAAGACAGCTTATATAGTGGATCCTCTGATGATCTGATGGGCTGCAGCTGTGCAGGAGGCTCACTCAGAAGGATCCACGGCGGACTCTGCTGGAGAAAGGTGGAACTTTTCCAGCTCCCGACACATATAGTGTAATTTGAACTTTGTGATTTTTGTTTTAGGCCTTTGCAAAAATGAAGCTGCTTTTAGCAGGAATTGTTCTCACTTTCCTCACTATATGTGACGCTCAGTGGTACAAGTTTCCTATTGAAGCTGCTCAAGGTAAGATGTATGACCTACTATATAAGCAGAACCTTTTTAAGTACATTCATGGTTGTCACTGAAAGGGTCATTATATAATATGAACATTCTTTGTTTTTTTTCTAATCAGGAGCTCGTGATATGGCCAGAGCCTACAGCGACATGAGAGAGGCCAACTTCGAAGGTTCTGACAAATACTTTCATGCCAGAGGAACCTATGATGCTGCGCAGAGAGGAGCAGGGGGGAGGTGGGCTGCTGAGGTTATCAGGTAATAAATGCAGTATAATCTTAAAATGATTGGAAATAAGTTTTTCAAGATCAAACACTGATAAGCAGATAGATCTTTTGTGTAGGTCATTAGGATTTGTACTGTTTTGTAAAAATGTACTTTCTTCTGGATATGTGACGCATTAATGTAGAGACATAGTTAAGTGTATGCAAATTCACTGATATTTATTGGGCTGGTAAGATTTCTAAATAAAGGAATTCACATTCTTTACGGCAAAGCAAAATTTATAAATTGATTGCACAAGTAAACTGTTTTTAAGATTTTAAAATAATTGCAACATTTCACCTTTTGACAAAAGCAAGACTTAAAGTATTTTAGGGTGTTTAATGAAGGACCCTAGAACTTTTAAAGAATATGACAAAAAAAAGATGGTGTGAAAATGCCTTTTGTTGCCACAGGAATTAGGATTTCCCAAGTTAAATAGAGCAAATTCTAAATAGATTTTTTTTATGTGTATTTCTCTCTTTTCAGCAATGCCAGAGAGTGGATACAGGAAAGTTTTGGTACCAGTACAAAAAAAACGGATATAGGAGATCTTCATGTATAAAACAGAGGAGATCCCAACCATTACAGACCTGCAGGCCTTCCTGATAAATACTGAGAATATAACACGCAGTCTAATAAAACTCAGGATAAAACTGTATTTCTGCACTCATTTGTGATGCATGATTAAGAATAAAAGTTATTTCCTTTGTTATTTCAGTTAAATCAAAACCCCATATGAGGACTTCCATACATTAAAATGAGTTTTAGGATCTTGAATATAGATGTATAAAAGTATATGTATATAACTTAAGGCCTATTTAACAAAACTTGAATTCAGAAATCCTGGGCAAGAGATAGAGCCTGTCTTGACTTAATGTGATCAGTGCATCCTTGCAATGATATCAGAAGCCTAAGATACACATTTTCTAACCCCTTCAAAAACATCATAATTGAATGATTAACTTTCAACTTAAAAACTAACAGTGGAAGGTATTATAAGATTCATGGATCATACTTTTTTTTTTTTATTGTTTATTCCTTTGCAACATGCATGCTGTCCCTCTGAGGTGTAGTTGTTGAAGACTGGCAGGAGAACAGGAGACTGAGAAAATAATCGTGAGTCACTGTCATCTAGGTAATTGTGGGGAAAGCTTCAAGTATTGGCTCTTAATTGTAAGGGAAGATACATGTTTGGAGCTTCTTTTATGGCCTGACATTATAGACAACACCAGTAGTCTACTAAAGGTCTTTCTGTCAACATTATAACAAAAAAACATCTTAAAAAACACTATCAAATTAACAATGTCCGAATAAAAGACTATAAGGTTCATTATTATATAGGCTACCATAACGCTGATAAAATAATAAAAATAATTGGCTATACAGTGGGGCAAAAAAGTATTTAGTCAGCCACCAATAGTGCAAGTTCTCCCACTTAAAAAGATGAGAGAGGCCGGTAATTTTCATCATAGATATACCTCAACTATGTGAGACAAAATGAGGAAAAAAAAATCCAGAAAATCACATTGTCTGATTTTTAAAGAATTTATTTGCAAAATATGGTGGAAAATAAGTATTTGGTCAGTTACAAACAAGCAAGATTTCTAGCTCTCACAGACCTGTAACTTCTTCTGTAAGAGGCTCCTCTGTCCTCCACTCGTTACCTTCATTAATGGCACCTGTTTGAACCCGTTATCAGTATAACAACCTCAAACAGTCACACTCTAAACTCCACCATGGCCAAAACTAGAGAGCTGTCAAAGGACACCCGAAACAAAATTATAGACCTGCACCAGGCTGGGAAGTCTGAATCTGCAATAGGTAAACAGCTTGGTGTGAAGAAATCAAATGTGGGATCAATTATTAGAAAATGGAAAACATACAAGACCACTGATAATCTTCCTCGATCTGGGGCTCCACGCAAGATCTCACCCCGTGGGGTCAAAATGATCACAAGAACGGTGAGTAAAAATCCCAGAACCACACGGGGAGACCTAGTGAATGACCTGCAGAGAGCTGGGACCAAAGTAACAAAGGCTACCATCAGTAACACACTACGCCGCCAGGGACTCAAATCCTGCAGTGCCAGACGTGTCCCCCTGCTTAAGCCAGTACATGTCAAGGCCCGTCTCAAGTTTGCTAGAGAGCATTTGGATGATCCAGACGATGACTGGGAGAATATCATATGGTCAGATGAAACCAAAATAGAACTTTTTGGTAAAAACTCTACTCGTCGTGTTTGGAGGAGAGAGAATGCTGAGTTGCATCCAAAGAACACAATACCTACAGTGAAGCATGGGGGTGGAAACATCATGCTTTGGGGCTGTTTTTCTGCTAAGGGACCAGGACGACTGATCCATGTGAAGGAAAGAATGAATGGGGCCATGTATCGTCAAATTTTGAGTGAAAACCTCCTTCCATCAGCAAGGGCATTGAAGATGAAACGTGGCTGGGTCTTTCAGCATGACAATGATCCCAAACACACCGCCCGGGTAATGAAGGAGTGGCTTAGCAAGAAGCATTTCAAGGTCCTGGAGTGGCCTAGCCAGTCTCCAGATCTCAACCCCATAGAAAATCTTTGGAGGGAGTTGAAAGTCTGTGGTGCCCAGCGACAGCCCCAGAACATCACTGCTCTAGAGGAGATCTGCATGGAGGAATGTGCCAAAATACCAGCAACAGTGTGTGAAAACCTTGTGAAGACTTACAGAAAACGTTTGATCTCTGTCATTGTCAACAAAGGGTATATAACAAAGTATTGAGATGAACTTTTGTTATTGACCAAATACTTATTTTCCACCATATTTTGCAAATAAATTCTTTAAAAATCAGACAGTGTGATTTTCTGGATTTTTTTTCTCATTTTGTCTCTCATAGTTGAGGTATATCTATGATGAAAATTACTGGCCTCTCTCATATTTTTAAGTGGGAGAACTTGCACTACTGGTGGCTGACTAAATACTTTTTTGCCCCACTGTATATGAATATGTATTAAGGGTTTTTAACGTAACCTAAAAAAATTATCCAAGAAAAGGATAAGAAAAAATAATTAGTAGAATAACTGATTGGTTGATGTTCAGAAAATTCTGGCTTAGATCCTTATCCAGGATTTGTGAAACAGACCTGTGGGCTCCAATTGAGACCTGTCAACTCAAGCTTTGTTGAATTTGTGAGTAAGTTGCTTTTTGCAGGGCATTGAATAATCCTCCCTTTTCAGGTACATTTCTTTTAGATTTTTTTTTATTGATTTAAAATCTAAACACCAAACATTCTTTCTTAACTGATTTCATCACAGGAGAGCACCGTTTTTACACTGGTATAGAACAAATATTTTCCTAATTTCCTAATTTGAAACCCTTGCCACAGGATATATACTGAGCAGAAATAACTAATTCAATCAACCCATATTTAAAGATCATATTTAGGTGAATTTTAGACATGGCAAAAAGCATCAGATTTTTAACTTGGTTTGTAAATATATTCTGGTATCTCATCTGCCACCTCTGTGATAACCCTTAATCTAATAAGTTTGTGAAATTAGTTAACACTGTAACCAACATTAACAACAACCAAACAGATCTGCTGTAATTGTCATATTAATTATTTTCTTTATAAACAGCTTACCAAGAGATCCAATTATCATGTGTTTCATTTATAAACAGTTTGCTATGTAAATGAACACCGTTGTTCAAGATAAATAAAACAAAAGATTTGAGATATGGATCTATTTCAAGAGCACGGCATTAGCGAATACTATATAATTTAACTAATATGAATATGTTTTTGTCCAAATCTTTTGTTTTTTTTTAAATCAGTTATATTGTATATTTCTATATTTAAATACATGTATTTTCATAAAAGAAGCAGAATTTGGTGTTCTGACAAGGTAATGAACTGAAACCTATTTAGAAAAATCAGAATTATTTATGGATAACGCTTTTAGAAACAAAGCTATGAACCTTTTTATGTTTCAAACAATATAACACAGCTCTAAGTACAAACAGTAATAGGGGGTTAATAACAAAAGTGAAACTAGACAACTATTGTAACAGAATATAAAGAATACGACTAGTGATCTCTTGCATAAAACTCTGAGGATGACGACTTTCTGTAGTCTGAACAGTCTGCAAAAAACTAAGAATTCAGGTTTTTATTTGTATATTCATAAGCTTTTGCTTTTTATTTAGTCCATCATTAACCTCAGAGTTGTTTGAGGCAGGGTTATTTTCGTTTTATTAAAATTGATTAAGCTAAAGGTTAGATTAAGCAAAAGTGCTGCTCAAGGTCAACACTTTTGTTAAAAGGAATAAGTTTACTGAATGCCTCCATACTATACTTTCCATAGGTTTCCAGTGAATAACACATGGTGCTGTCTCACATCAAGGATCTTCTGATATGGCAAAGGCAATGTGGCAAAAAGGGGGAAACACTTTATGCCATCAGCTGGAAAAAACCTTTTTGTCATCAAAAAATATGTTGCTGTGCTAAGAGAAGCATGAAGTAAATTGAGTGCAGAGAAAATCAGGTAATACTGCTGGAATTGTGGAAATTTCTGTATGCAGAAATTAAACAACAAAGGCTCTGGATGAAGGTTACCATTTGTTTTGCTGACGTTATTTAGATTAATCTAATAACTTTGTAAAGTGTAATCTAATCTTTTCTGTGTAATAAAAATATCAGGTTGTTATACCATTCTCAATATCTAACAGAATTCAATCTAAATAACCTGAGCCAACGGTTTAGAGAAACGATATTTCCCCTTAACTGTTGGGGAAAAAAATACAAACGTGGAAAAGTGATTTTTTATGTTTAGATCTTCTAAAACGTTAAGAAATGATAAATCATTGGTAGATCATTGGTAAATAGCTCTCACTTACTCCCTCCTTCTGCCTTTTTAATCATGCTTCAGACACTCTACTTAATGCAGATACTAAACGTTTGTTTTAATTCTCTTATTTCTGGCCAAGAAATGTATATTACTGAGATGGTCAGCACCTCAGGCCCCCACAGTTGATATTTGGATATCACAGATTTCAGCTATTATCACAGTTGAAAAACTGACCCATGACCTACATCAAAAGTCTGAGAAATTCCGGAGGATTTGGAACCCACTGCAATCTTTCTTACAGAGAATGTCATTTTTTTGTTGTTGTTGTTATTTTTTTTTTGTTTTTCTTATTTTTATTTTTTTTATCATTTTCCCTTCTCTCTTTTACATTCAGTATATTATTCATGTGGCTGTCCAACAACTTTAACTATGGTGAACCATGACTGGGAATGTTTGTTTGTGTGTGTAGGCACTATGTGTTTTATATATATATATATATATATATATATATATATATATATATATATATATATATATATATATATATATATATATATATATATATATATATATATGTAGACACTGCAATGCTCCTTGTTGTTTTGGAGTGGGTTGTTTTTTAATTTTTGTTTATGTTTACATAAAGTTGTGAAAATCAATAAAAAAAAAGAAAAAAAAAGAAATGATAAATAAACAGTTGGCTGTGTTGGCTGTGTGAAAAGCAGCCCCCCTCAATCACAGTGAGGGTATATAACACTACACTGCATTTTGTATCTGCTCATGCATGAATCAGGCAGCGGGGAAAATACAGGAGCTGATGAACTATCAATTTT